CGCCGGAGCCACGGGGAGCGCGGCCGCGGAGGACCCGGGCGACCGGATCCTGGGATCCCGGCTCCACGCTGTCCTCGCCTTTCTCAGACCCACCTCCCTCCCCCGACTCTTTCCCCAAAACGGAGCCTTTATACCCAGAGAAGGTGCGCGAGCTGGAGCAACCCGGACTTTCCTGGGCACCCAAGATGCGCTCCATTAGGAAGAGGTGGACGATCTGCACTATAAGTCTGCTCCTGATTTTTTATAAGACAAAAGAAATAGCAAGAACTGAGGAGCACCAGGAGACGCAACTGATCGGGTAAATGAAAGCTCCATTTCGGGAGATGACCGAAAGTCCAGCCGTAGAGCCACTGTGTGTCTAGGCTGTGAAGGTTGGGATGCTGTGCGTGTGCGTCCGAGCTCGCGGGTAGGGACTCTAGTGAATTAAACAACAAAGGCTGTCGCGGAGCTGTGAGTTTGTGTGTGTGTGTGTGTGTGTGTGTGTGTGTGTATCTCGAAGCGAGTTCAACTTGCCCTGTGGAGCGGTCGGGATGACAGGCACCGGAGAAGTCCCTGCAGAAGTGTCAACAAAGAACGTTTGCCCTTGGCCCTTTAATCCGCGGGCAGAACTCAGCCTAGAGGTCTCTGTTCACTAAATGGCTGTCCTTCCCTTTTCCTCTGTCCTTTCACTCTAGGGAGAAACTGGAAAAGCTGGTTTCCTGCCAGGTTAAAGTTAAAGCTCACACAGGAGGAAATCTGCCTCCTCTGCTTCTGCACTTTTTTGTTTGTTTGCTTCTTTTTGGCGTTGGGTAGATCGGTGTATTTTAATCTGAATTAGAATTTCTAGTACCACCACCAAGGATGATTCCGTATTTGCTTGTCCAGGGATAAGACGCCGTCATAGTTTGAGAAAGAAGCTGGCTAAACTGTTATCTCCCCCAGCCAGCCGTACAGCTGCTATTTCTTTAGTTTGTCTGGATGAGTTCAGAATCTCCCCGCCCTTTTAAGTTCTCTAAATATCACACTTCCTTCCTCCCTCCCCTCAGCCTCTGCGCCTTTGAAGTTTACCCAGAGGTGGTGCAACTTTGTGAGGCTGACAGAGCTTGGAAGCTCTTTCTGAGGATGCGAACCTGCTTGTCAACTCTGTTCAAAGTCGTGTTTCGGAATTCTTGCCTGGTCCGGAGGCGTCTGCTGTAGGAAACTTTACACTAGCACAGACGCCTGGGTTTTATTTTCTTCTGACACTGATTAAAACGAAGGGACTTTGCCATTGTGCGTGTGTGTGTGTGGGCGGGGCGCGCATGTGTGTGAGAGAGAACTGCTAAAATACCCCCTCTTAAACTTCGTGGAGTCCATCTCTTAATATTCCTGCTCCACCCCAAGTAATGAGCATTTGAGTGAGCAAAGGGGCAGGTTTATCTTTCCAGAAGGAAACGCGGTTTGGTAGAAAGCTGCGGTGACAGTGACACAGGAGGGACTGGAAGGAATGAAAAGCTAATAAGGAATGGACTGAATGGTCGTTATGCATCGACAGGTCTATTCAAGGTCTATTCTGGGGAAAGAAAAAAAAATAATAAAAGAACCCTATGAGGTCGTTTACACAGGAGTGGGCGGGTTGAAAATCCAGCCATGTGAATTGTCACAAAAGAAGGACTTCAGGAGGGGGTGTGGGCATCGCCGCAGACCTGTGCTCTCCAGGCAGACAAAGGGGTATTTAGGGAGCTGCTGGCCCCGGCTGGGCTCCGGTGCATGCGAGGCCGGGGCAGGAGGGTCGCGATTCTTTGTTCCCTCCTGGCTATGGGCTCCAGGAGAAGCCTGCGCCCAGACAAAGCGGCCGAGCCAGGCCAGGAACTGAATGTCTGGGCTGCTGGCGCGGGACCCCGGGGAGCAGGAGTGGGTGGGGTGGGGGCGCGATGCAGCGGGGCGTCTTCTCCAGCTCCCCAGCTGCATCGGGAGGAAGAGCGCACCCAGCCCCTCCAGGGCAAGGCAGGGACCCAGGAGGCTTCACGTGCCGACCCCATCCTGGGTGGGCACGGCCCTGGGCTCAGACGAAGAAGAGGAGGGCACAGGCGGGGGTCGGGCTGGCAAGGCTGAGCCCTCTTCAGCAGCCTTTGCAAGCAAACCAGGTTGGGTTTCTTCCCAGTTCATTTTAGAAGGCGTGGTGCGGGCCCTCGAGTTAACCAAACAGGAAGAGAGGTGCGCCCCGGGTCTGACCCTCCTCCCAGACTCTTGAGAGCTAGGGTGGGAGAATGAACTGAGTAAGACGTGGGAAGACGCTTTTGGAGGAATCAGGACTCCCTTCGTTTAAAAAAAAAATCACTTTCCCTGCTCAGCCAGCACCGCGGCTCCTCCTCCTTAATTAAAACCCGCAATTGCAGCTTCGGGGGCGAGGCAGAGCTGGCTGCAGGCATAGCTGTCATCCACGTGCCCCAAAGCGTCCCGCTGCCCGGGTGGCCATGGGCTACTTCGCAGACTGAGCCGGGGAAGGGCAGCTCTGGCCGCGGAGCACACGTTTTCCTTTCCCCAGGATGAGATATGCAGTAGGAAAGCTTGGGATCCAAACTCCTGATTTTCACTCCCAGTAGTGGTGGAGTTGAGTCATCAAACTAATCCTTTCATTGACTAGCTTTCCACCCAAGCCACGTGGAGAGGCCGTTTTTAAAAAGAGTTGAATTAGATTGGAGGTTTGGGCCAGACATTTAAAAGTGAAGTAACAGAGGCAGACTCTGGCCTTTGGGGGGCACTGCGTACCTTGTGGGTGGCCAGCAGTCTCAGTGCAAGGCCTTCCAGGGTCCTTTAGGTTTACAATTTCCCCTAAACTCATGTTTAGCTTTCCTGCCTGCATTTTTTTTCAACAGGCGTGCAATCTTTTGTCTATTCAACATCTCTTCTTTGAAACGCCACGTCTCAGATAGAGTTAATGTACCATTACTCTTCTTGCATACAACATTGAGCAATCATTCTGTGCAAGAAAATAGAAGCCCAGCTTTTCCATCAAAGGGCTGCCTTTTCATACTTACAGAGGAACACAAGCAACATTTTTAAAAGAAAAGAGGGGTTATCCCAGAGCTAGTCAAGTAATGATTGGATACCTAAAAGCGACCTTTCCTTCCACGAAAATTCGTTTCTTATGATGACTCAGTTAATGAAGTTTAACCGAAAAGGCATTGGTACTATTCAGAGCTCTGTTCTTGACTTTTTTCTTTCTTAAGTGGGCCTCACAGGTCTATGATTCAACTGGCTCTATGTGCACTTTGTGTTATAATTGGAAAAAGGATTTCAAGGCACCTATAGAGCTGGGAAAGGTATCCTAGCACTCTGCACTCTGGAGGCTGAGGCAGGATTATCAGGGCAAGTTTGAGGCCAGCCTAGAATACATGGCAAAACCCTGTCTCGAGTAACAAAACAAAACTTCCACAGATATGTAGGTATGCTCATTCAATGAGATGAAATATTTGAAAGTATAAAAAGCTTTAATGTCTCATAGATAGTTGTTCTGATTGTTTTTTTTCTTAAACTTACAACACATTATTTCCTGGTTGATGAAAAATGAGACTGTAACTTACTATTTTATCTTCTAGAGATAGTCATCCAAAGTGAGGAACTGCTCACTTTCGGATATGTTACTAACTGATCAACGGTGTGAATTCTGAAATCGGTGTTAAGATTGGAGGCGGTAATGAGCACTCATACCGTACTTTGGATATTTGTAACATCAGCCAAATTTCAGTTTACTCTGAGTTGAGCATACTTTTGCAAGTCAAGATTTCCAGAATTTGCACTTCACATGTTATATTTTCAATTCTACCAAAACCTATAAGCAATGAGTTAAAAGGAGAACATCTAATCTTTATTTTGAGTAGTTGGAACATAGGAGTAAAAGCACAAAATCACCTTCTGTTTGTGTTCAAGCAATTCTTTTTTTTAAATCACCTTTAAAATTTTAAATTAAGGAGGAAGCTTAATCCAGTCCAGAGGGAACATATTCATTCCACAGCTAAGTCAGGAAGAGTTTCAGTGGAGTTGAGTGTAGAGCTTTGGGGACCTCGTTTCCAGAAGTGGAATTACTCATATTTGTTATATAAGGCAGAGCTAACAGAATAAATTGTGGTGAAGCCGGGAAACTCTCATCAAAGACAAAAGCATGTGTACATGCCAGATAGGAAACCTAAGCAACAGTTCTCATCACTGGCATCTCACAGATGACCATCTTCCTAGATTTTTCATAACTCTACATACACAAGACTGCTCTGTGCCATTTGCTTTATGCTGGGTGATTTCTTTGATGTGTTTTGCGATTTTCCTTTTAAAAGTACATATTGAATATTTTCATGCTTAGCCTAATGCAAAAAATATTTTTAGTGCAGCTGTTCAGAAGTCATGTACAATCTGTAATGAAAAACAAGTAGGAGTGGCAACATCCTTCATGCCTTGCATTCATGGGAAGGAAGTTTTTCCTAAGACAGAAATGCTACAAAGGTCACATGTGGAAAAACCCTTGAGACACATTTAACTTTAAACAAAATACTCTCTAGAGGTTTAGATTGCCCTAAACTTGGTCTTGCTCATAAGTTCCATTGGCTCTAAAGAAGTAGTGTGATTACTTCCATTAAGAATTTCTTGATGGGATAAAAGCATACATTTGGCCAATCACAACTTCAGTAAAACATAATATGAACAGCAGAGTAATATAATAGCATTGTATTTTTACAAAATGGTTATAAAGTTTAAAAATCACTTCTTGTTGCTCTGCAAAGGCTCCATGCAACTTAGTAATTCACAGCCATCATTGTGCAGATAAAAGTAAGTCCACAGGTCAGTGAAACAATCTTCTACAGATTAAAGGAAAGACATGCCTGTGTGTATTTTTACTGTCATGAAAATTTATTGGTGATATATAAGCAATTATTGTAGTAATAGTAACCTATGGTAAGAAAATGATGGCATTGACTGACCAGATATTATTGGGTGAGAAGTGGAAAATATGGTGGTTTATGCTGTTTTTTTGTTTGTTTGTTTGCTTGTTTGTTTTGAGGCAAAGTCTTTTAATATAGTCCAGTCTGGCTTTGAACATACTATGTAGCCCAGGATGGAGTTGCGCATAACATGATTCTCCTGCCTCAACTTCCCAAGCACTGGGATTAGGGGTCTGGGAAGAGAATCCAGATTCACTTGTACTTTTTTTTTCTTTTTTTTTGGTACTGGGGATCAAACTCAGGTCCTTGCACTTCTGAGCAGGGAACAACTGAGCTAAAACCCTGGCCCTGCTTGTACTCTTGAGGGTGTATCATCTAAAGTGTGAAGGTTAACTTCTTTGTCTATCCATATTTTGCTTCACATGTAATTATCATCATTAACATGTAATATAAGTATTGACCACTGAATGGTAAAATATGCTCTATATTTCCTTGTATCCTAAATGATTTTTATAAAATGATTATTATTAGCTGCATATAGGCTTGTAAATGTACCATTGTCATGATTAAGATAGTTTAAAACATTACTTTTATGGGGTTCTAAATTTTACAAAGAGTGGTTTCATATGATGCTTTGAGTTGCTTCAAATTTAAACTACATTTTTAAAAAGTATGCAAACCAAAATACCAAAGTATAAACCTTCAATTATAGAATTCATTCAACAGCTGTTACACCAGCAATGGTTCCATTGATAGTAGGCGAGGGATGCCTACACAAAGAGCACAGATTTAGAATTTCTGTTTGAACATGTAGTCAAGTTACTTTTTTACTATGCTGTTGAGATTCAAAAATTAAAAGGTGATATATAAAGAAATAAATGCATATGTTAAGAACGCTATTTTTTTTTTTTGCTTCTGTGCTATAAAAGTGGCCTTTTCACTCTCTGAATCTGAACGTACATCTGTGAAGTAACAAGAAGTAGTCTATTGAGTAATGAGTTGTTGGCTAACAAAGTCTTCCTGGTATAAATGATATCATGGCATCTCTCAAAACAACCACTAATGCCATACTCCAATACTACTGTGCACATGGTACGCTAGTCTGACCATGCTGGCTGACAGGTGGGGGTTATTGTCAAGGTTATGGTGAAGCCACTGTGGCCCAGAAAAATATTGCCTAGGAACACAAGGCTGGCAAGCCACAGAATCAAGAACATGCACAGGCCACCTGATACTGCAACATTTCCTTACTCTGAGACAAAGCTCTTGCCATTATGTTTATATGTCTTCTTTGAGAGTAAAATTAATCTTTGAGGTCACAGTTACACAGATGTAGAATAATTGACCAAACATCCTGTCTCTATTGTCTAAAAAGAATCAGTTGAGGGTGCAGTGGGAAACAGGGCTTTGGTGAGAAATCTTTGTTTCTTTAAGTTCCAAAGAGGTCTTTGTTTTTCTTTTATGTGAAAATAATTAAAATTAAGAATGAATATGTGGGCAGAGGTAAGGGGAAAAAATGAGAATCAAGACTTGCCATGTAGAGGTACATGATCCCAACAATGAATGTAACTGTACTGTATCACTAAAATGTACCAATAAACTCAATTAAAGCTGAAAAAAAAAAGAATGAATATGTGTAGGTTTTTGTGATGAAGACATATTCACCTAATTATTGTAACGGCTCTCCTCACGCTTGTATCTTTCTAACCTGTGGAAATTTATTCAGTCGTATAAATCATGCTATGTAGCTATGGCTTACACAAAAATGCTTTTCTCACAAAGCTGGCATTTTTGTTTTGTTCCAGAGATGGTGAATTGTGTTTGAGCCGATCACTTGTCAATAGTTCTGATAAAATTATTCGAAAGGCGGGCTCATCAATCTTCCAGCACTCTGTAGAAGGCTGGAAGATCAATTCCTCTTTGGTCTTGGAGATAAGGTGAGTTTCTTTAATAAGGCTTAATAAATTTAATGTCATGTTCTCAAATACATTGGGTTTGAAAACATATTGAACATCTGATTTATAGGTTAAGTATTAATATTTTAGTGAGAGAGTGAACCAGCTATATTTAATGTTGCTCACTGAAGAATGTGAAGCCATAAAAATGAAATTATTATATAGTAAAATATTTAAAGATGAATATATGAATTTGAATATACAGTTTTATATTAATGAAATAAAATATTCAACACAACACTAATATTTAACATACTTTTACACAGTTACTCATGATGAAAATATTTTTAGAATTAGTTTTGGCTTCTTTGACACTTTATTTAAATCTTATGTTATCTCAACTAAATGAGAAAAGGTACTACTCAATAGCTATTTTGTTGATGATGGCGAATACAGTTGATATAACCTATCAGTGTCAGTGTGAGTTCATATGAAAAATGGATAAAAATCATTGCCTGCTTGAATACTGGCTTATTTATTAGACTAGGCATTTAAGCTCTTAAGAAACTCTTGAAATAAAATTCAATATATTCATTACATCATTTTTTCTAGTAGTCCTATTACTAATAAGAACCTTTTATATGGAAGAAACTAGCAGATTAATTTTCTCTGTAGTTACTCTACATGGCTGCCTTGGTTGACATGCTTATAAAAATCATACTTTTCTAGTTTTGGCAAATGCCAATTATCCAGTGGCTGGGTTTTGACAGGTATTTTATAAGGGTCCCTACTGGTCAAAAGATTAAGTGCTGAGCCGTTTGCCTGGGCTTCTATTTACCCCCTCCTTGGTTCATACCTACACATAGGGGAGGTTGTAAGTAGCCTGGAAGAAGACTCCGTGACACCAATCATGAGGGCATAAACAATTCAGAGTGCAGTTCTGCAAGGGAACTTACTGAGTTGAAATTTACTCAGAATTATCTGGAAATTAAAAAGAGGTGGAAACTGAAAGGTTAGGTGGAAACTAACCGAGAGGAATGGTTAGGCTACTTTGGATTAAACTTTTTGGAAAGGTTGGAATCAAAAACAGGAACCAACCCATTGAAATCGTGTGTTCGAGTACTTATAGTTTAGGCCTAACTTTGTATATCTGTGGGCCTAATACAAGAGGGAGCAGATGTGTAGAGTCTGATGACCTTGTAAGTTGGAGTCTCCTAGGCACAATATGGGTTGAAAGCAAACTCTGTTTAAACTGGATGGAGAAAATGTTTTAAAAACCGATATTTAAAAAATCAGGAAATTCCTTATAGAAGTATGACTTTTCAAATCTCTTGAGAAATTTAAAGATTTGACAACCTGGACTGTGTTCTTCCTGGCAGGGCGTGCACTGAGGCTATGAAGAGTGTCTGACATTTTTACACCAGGGGCCACGTTCTCCCATGATACCTGTTTAGTGTCCTCCTCACACCTCCGACTCCACGTTTGCATTTAGAAACCCTATCAGACATGAGACAATTTTAAGGAATGGGGTCATATAGCATCATACATCCAGATAAGATTTACTTTAAGAATTCATAGTTCTTGGAGGTAGATTAGAAAATGAGAAATATGGATGATCTGAAAGGAAAAAGTTGATCTGCAGTCATATCTAGACAGAGAACTTCAAATAGGATGGATTAGCAAAAAGAGAGCAGTTAGTTTAGGTTACACGGATTAAAGCAAGTAATGGAAACAGGTAAAGTAAAATAAGAAGTGGTAACAGTTTAATGAGTGTGTCTTGCTACATTAAATAGTATATCAGATAAATCAAACTCTCTATCATGTAAAATTTCAGTAATAGATACTAGTTTAATCATTACATCCAGCCCATACTTTCCAATGTCTATGTAAATAGGAATACTTTAGTTGATCTGACTATAGATATATATCTTTTATTTAATTATTAGTAGTTTGGTGTTTAATATTGTAATCTAAGAAATGACATATTTTTATTGAGCTAGATGTGATGCATACATCTGTAAAAACTGTACTGAGAGATTATTTGACCATGTCCAGCATTCATGACTTGACATTTTTTCCACATTTGGGTTATTTTTTTCTTGGAATTTTCATATAGTAAGTAAAAGCAAAAAAGAAAACCAAATTGCCAAATATCCTTTTAAAATATATGAGTTTAGCCTCTCATCAGAAAAGCCTAATCACATAATTAGAAAATATTTTCAATACATAATATCATATTTATCAAAATTCCTAAACAGTTAAGAACTTCCAGTTAACTGAACATAATTGCAAATTTATGTATGCACACTTCTCAGAAAGAACTTGCTATTATATGCATATATTTACTTTAGAAAAAGGTCCATATCCAATGCTTACATAATTTTCTTCTTACTTTCATCATTAAGTGATCAGAACAGCTGATCTTGAGTCAGAAAGCTAATTAGATACAAACCCAGTCCTATTTGACTGTTCAGCCAGTGGATTATTAAGAAATAAATTTCTTGTAATATTGTATTTTAAGAAAAATGATATGAATCATATAAATGTATGTTTATGTAGTGTGTAGTATTTTTATTTGCTGTGAAATAGCAAAAGGTATTTTTCATCCAATATTACCAAACTTTGGGCTAATACTCTAAAGGCAACTTGGTCCATCAAGGACAATAAAAATTATTTTTTCAAGTATTTTGAACAATTTGTCTTTTAATTTTTTTATGATTATGTAGGGGTTTTCTTTTGATACTAGAATATCAGCAATTATAGCAAGTTCAGATGTCTTATCAGTGAACAGACTTCATTCTTTTAGAGATTTGGAGCAAATTACTTTGGAGAGCAATGCTTTTGGGATAAAAATTGGTGCATTCTTTCTGTTTACTGGATGCATAAGACTGCAATTAGCATTTATTTATTTATTTATTTTTCTTTGTGCAATTACTAATTGAATCAATTCAGTGCTTTGGGGGCCCTGCAGTCCCTATCTAGAGTTTGCAAAATTTGATTACTAATATAAGTCATAATCTAATTTGCTTTTTAATTTATGATGCTTTACAGCTGTAAGATTTGTCACACGTTACTTTATGATGAACTTACTGCTATTTAGATTCAATTTTAGTTGTTACAGCACATGCACTTCTTGTTGACAAGAAAACTACAGAGAAGAAAGAGTGGCATCTAGGGATAGATTAGCCTCAAGAGAAAACAATGTTTAGTAAACTACTTTTCTAGCACTTTGCAGGTGCTACGTTAAGTATGAATTTTGTTGAAAGGGAACTTGCAGATGAAAATTCAGTTGAAAAGTTTCTGCATAGTATCTATTCCTGTCAGGCAAACAGTCTAAACCAACCTTTCGGTTTTAGCCAGTGTTGCTCAACAGAAAATAGTTTGTATGACTAAGATTTTTAGTGCCACTGAAAACGAAACATTTTCAGATTTTTCAGTTATCTTTAACATTCAACAGTTTTCAGTAATTGCAGAAGGATCACAAAATTACAGTTATGAACCTATCTATGAGGAATCTTCTTGTTCTTATTCTAAGTCATGCATAGAAACGCAACCCCTGTTTGGAATATCTGGTCGTAACTTGCCTATAAATTAAGAGAAGTTGTACTAGTACAACTGTACATTAAACATTAGCCTATATTGATTCAAGTTCCTCTAGAGCCTAGATATTAAATTTAATTTTTTACTGTATTTTTCTTATTTTTAAAAAAAGATTTTGTTTTGTCTGCCAATAAACAATGTTACATTCTTAACAATTTTGTTCTGAGTAAGAGTATATGTTCTCTTTGGTGATGTTTAAAGTGCTGCTTTCATGCTCTCAGTGGCATTTAACTTATTATATATAAGTAACAGCTTTATAGTCCCAACATATTTATAGTCTGAGCACCAACTAGATTTGGCAAATACACAGAGCTTTTTTGCGGTCTGTTATATTCGTAATCGAAAATAATATCTTCAGCCTGCTGGGGGAGAAAAACCTAACCTTCCCTTACTGTTTTCAAAGAGTATTAAGAGCTTAATTCACAGTATTATTCTCTCATAGTAATTATTTTCTCTCTTTCATCCACTTTCACCAGTACATTTATCTCAGGTAATTTTCCATGCCTAAATTTAAGTCCTAAAATAGAAACTAAGAGTTTCATTCAATATAAGAAAAAGAACTTACTGGAGTCACTCAAGTTTACTTTTTCCCTTTTCGGTTTAAAAAAAGAAAATTGTACACTAACAACTATTTTGAATTTTGCCAAAGAAATTTTTATATTTTGTTATTTTGATTAGTATGAACTATTTTTATTATTTTTTTAGAAAGCACTTCTGTAATTTTTACCACTATTTTAAATTATGCTAAGCCTTTAACACAGCCCAGGAAGAACACATAATATGTGCTTATTGAAATTTGATAATTGTTTATCTCTAACTATTTTGTCCCAAAAGTCACACAAAATAGTGCATGTTAAAACTTTTCTCATTACCTAGGCCCCTTTTCATACCAGTTTTCCTAAAAATGAATAAATTAGAGATGTTTAATTATACTCAAGAATTTAGAAGATGTATTTTCAAGGTTTTTGGCTGCTTTCTATTACACAAAAGGGCACACTTGTCATCCTATTAGTTGACACTCATGTAAGTGCTAACTTTTTTGATCAAGTAAAAGTGATTGTTCCTTAGTGTGTTCAGGCTACTATATTTTTTGCCCATATCTAGACCTCTAATCTATTCACCTCAAACTTGCAAACACGCCACCATCTGTGAGTGTACATCTCCAAGAACATCTACGGCAACCTGTTCAAATTTTGTTCAAAGGAAAATGATAACATCACACAGCTGGATGATTTAACCACATCCGTGCAGTCTGTGCTTTAGCGCCAGCCTTGTCATTTTCACAGGAAATGAGAAATTTTTGTTGAAATGTAGGTGTCAAAATACTCATTTTCCACAGACAAATAAATGACAGCTAATAAATATCTGCAGAGGTTTATGTGTCTGTCACTTTGGGTGCTAATCATTAACCTTTATGAAGAATCACATGATGAGAGACTTCTCCATTTTCTCAATTCATAAGTCTGTAGTTGAGGCTTTCAACTGTAGTTCTCTTCTTACGTAATCTGTATATTGTTAAAATAAACTATCATGGTGCGTAGTAGCATTTCTAGTGATGTTTCTGTTTTCATTTGTAGAATATTGGCATAAAACTTCCTTTACAAATTAGCTTAAAATATTTTTTCCAGAGAGCTGTTAGGTATTTCTTTTATCTGTGCAGAATTTTCAATCATTTGGTTTTTCTAATTAGATCACACATTAAGATAGAATTGGCTTGGAGAAAGCGGAACAAAATGAGAAGTACAAGAGCTTGTTATTTTATATCTCTCCTTGCCAATCATCTTTCTAGGTTGTAAGTGTAAATTGGAAAATAATTCCTTTGGTAGTCATGAACAGAAGTAGTTATGAACAGAGGACATTTTTTCTTAGTTTTAAAAATTTACACTGATAATGAAGCTTAAACAAGAGTAGCTATAAATGAAAATGTTGAATCATAAATTTTATAGTAATGACATTGGTTTTATCCCTGCAAGAATGCAGTCCTGCTGATCTGCAATCTTAGCATTCTGTGTGGTTGAGTCAGTAGAATAACAAGTTTGAGCATGGCCTAGGCAAATTAGTGACAGGGAGAATTTGTATTGAAAAAAAAAAAAAAAGACTGAAGATGTTGTTCAGTGCAAAGGCCCTAGTTCAATCTCCAGTACTGAGAAAAACAAGTTTGCAGTAAAATCACATGGGAAATAATATTCAATTTCCAACATAGGTATAAAGTTTTCTTTCATTACTTCTTGCTGCTACATGTTTGCTAAGCTATGGATCAAATAATTCCAAACTTTAATAGGCCACGTCCATAATTTTCTGACAATACAGTTTTCTCAACAGCTTACTAGGATCCTGGGCTATCACTTTGTAGTTAGTATCAGATATAAATAATCCCATCCAAATATTTATTTTAAAACTCTAAGGACTTGTGTCTCTCCTCCAGTTATTCAGAGTTATCCTTCACTTCCCTCACCTTAATGGCAGCTACTTTTTGTCATTTTTGAGTCTGTACACTCATGTTAAAGTCCATATCCTTCTTGCTGGGATGACTCCAAATTACAGTAGTATTTACTGTTAATTGGGGTAAAGAAACAATTAGAGATCCAAATTAATAGACCACAAACAGTTTAGATTACTAAACATTTCAAGAGATATATTTCTTTCCATCTCATTTTTCAACTTGTCTATTTCATACTTGACTTCAACATAAACCAATGTTTGAACACTCTTTATCAAATACCCCAAAATAATAAATTTATTAGATAAAAGGCACAACTTTCAAACTGTGACAGGCAATATCTTTATCAAGTACACTTTCTATATCAAGTCAGGGTGCATCAGCTTTCCAGCCCACTGTTTCCTCATTTTCACCATCCAGTTATTTAGCATATGTATCTATTTCATGTCTCATTGCATCTCAGATTTGTGGTCAACTTACATGTTAGATATTTGATAGGCTGAAGTAGTATTTAAGAAGATCTAAAATATGGTGGCCAAATGAGCTGTGACTTGTATTTCTTTGTCATACAGCCGTGCTCATGATCTACTCCATCCCATCTGAGAAAGCTAACTTCCATGACCAAACCTAGCTGTATCTGAGTTTCAAAAGATTAGAAGTGTCTTAACCAAGCACCCATTTTTGCATATAAAACCCTGAAGATTCAAATACTAAAAGGAAGAGGGAAAGAAAGGACACTAAGCAACAATTGGCTCTCTCTGCCATATACAATGCAGCACTTCATCTGCCCATCTTTTCCTTTATTATATTGTTCTTATCTCCTGGAGTCTTGGACTAAGAAGAAAATTTTCATGTACATTTAGCGATACAGTTTCATATTTTCTTCACATATTTATAAAATATAGGTGAGTTGAAATGTCAGTCTTTTTAGTAGTATTAATTATTATCTAAATTCAAAATATTTAAATTATTTATATTCACCTTAATTAGACAGTGATACAAAAAATAAATAACTAAAGAAAATAGAAAGCTAGTACCAGAACATCTAATTATGGAAATTCCAGTATTTAAGTTAATAAATGGATTTTTATAATATGTTTTGATACAGTGTGCTTTTTACTCCAAAATATGTATTTATACTGTATTTACAAAACCATTATAAATTCTATGCAAAATGCTTTTAAAACATATTCTATTTCCTGTTGTTGATGTAATTACCATCTGAAAATTCAAAATCAGTGATTTGCCAATTTGTTTCCTATGTTACTCGGTGAATTACATTACCAGTTCTTGGATTTGCTGTAATGTAAAGCTTTGCTTGTATTTCACATATAGGAAGAACATTCTTCGTTTCTTAGATGCAGAGCGAGATGTCTCAGTGGTCAAGAGCAGCTTTAAACCAGGCGATGTCATACACTACGTGCTGGACCGGCGCCGGACCCTAAATATTTCCCATGATCTGCACAGCCTCCTGCCTGAGGTTTCACCAATGAAAAACCGTCGGTTTAAGACTTGTGCGGTTGTTGGAAATTCTGGCATTCTGTTGGATAGTGGATGTGGGAAGGAGATTGACAGCCACAACTTCGTAATCAGGTGAGAGAGCGCCGTCTGATCTAGGGATAGTGTTTTCCTCAAAGACCTTTTACTTAGAAATGGAAAACTGGCAGAAATGTTTAATATTAATACAGAGTTTTATTGATTACTCAAACATTTACCTATGATATCCCTTTCTGTGTTATACCCAGATCTGCATTTAGCTTGGAATAGAAGATTAAAAGTACTGTATCACTGAATAAAAATCTGCTTTCATTGTAACAATGATTCATGTTGGCTTTGGAGATTGGGGACAGATATCAATTTTACTACATTTAACATTCAATTAACAATTAGGTAAAACCTCATCTTTCTAGTCATTAGCTTGGTGTAACTTTATTTTTTTTTTTGTGAATATTACTTTGCATTGATATCATACATGTGAGCTAATTCTACTTTTTTATTGATAATAGTATAACATTTGACGAAATTGTTTTAGCAAGTTTCTATCTGATATCTTCAGACAAATTTCCTTCACCACTCTTTATTCATGGTATCTGTATATGTTAATAAACTTTAGTATTTTAGTTTTTTCACATAACTGAACATACCTTTTTATTGATGGTCAGTAGATACTTGATGACTTATGTGTTTGGTTAAGTTTTGATTTACTGAAATAAACTTAACAGTGGAAATGGGATTGTGATCACATCACAGGTATTAGCAGATTTCAAATCCCAATTCTTATATCTGTACATTTTTTGAGTTAGTATTAGATTAGAAACATTTGCTGAATGAGGTAAACATATGTTTCAATATAAAAAAGGTATAATATGAAGATAAACAATGTGAGTTTTCATATTTGCAAAGGCTTGAAGCCCCTTTAAGACAGGCTGCAATACAGGCTGCAAATATATAGATCTTGATAAAAATGTTTTGAAATAATATCTCAAAATAAATTGATTTTATACCGTGGTGCCTCGGTTCAGGAACACTTTTGTTTGGGAACAATTCAGTTGGCAAACAGAACCATTTGGCAAACTTTGGATTTTGTTTACAAATTACATCAAGTGCTGAACACCACCATGACCACCTTTTCCATACCAGCACAGACATGGACATCTTTTCCAAATTTGTAGAACAAATTGAGTTTGTGGACTGAGGTTCCACTGCTGTATATAGTTAGTCGTAATTAGAGTACAATTTCTTAAAAAAAAAATTATCTATGAAAAACCAGGTGGATACAATTCATACTTATAACTGCAAACATTTTACCTTATTATCTTGCCTTTTCTCAGCTGAGTGTAGGGTCAGATATTGATTTGAAACCAGTTGAGCTTTTAAAATCCTGATCTCAGAGATTGATTGGATTAAGAAAAAAAAAACCCTGTGGACTTGACTTTTAGATATAAAAATAAACTAATATACAAAGAGAAGGAGAGAAATATTTTATGGTGGAATGAAAACATGTGGAAATAATATGCTTCAAACATTGATTTCTGTGTGAAGTAGAGCTGTGAAGAAAATGTAAGGCTTCTAGAATTTCTGAAGTGACTAGAATCACAAGTCAGGCAAGGCAAAGAAGTGAAACTTTTAAGGCATAATGGAAATTGTTGCAACAGAAAGAGGATTTTAAAAGGTGATTAATACTCGAGGAAGATGATCTTAACATGACAAGTCTTGCTCCTGTTTCCCTTTAAACCTTGGCATTGGAATGTATTGCAATTGTTAGAGTTGTCTTATCTCTAACTTCACAATGGAAATTGGTTTTACAAGTGAGCAGTGAGAGAGACCCGACATGGTACTACTTCTCCTGTGTAATATCAGTTCATTGATAGTACTTTCTGCTCTGGCTTTATTACCCGATTTCTATAGACCGAATCCTTTGAAGTATTCCAATTTAAAATTACCAAGTTATTTCACAAAGCGTTGTGTCCCCAGTTAATACATTTCTAATGTCTTTCTGTTTTGACAGTTACAGGTGATCATCCTGACTTTACATCACAGGCTCTAGTCTTCATTTTCTTGCATCCATTTCTTAGAAATTGTACAGCCGATGGTGTATCTCACTCTCTGTTGTTAGCCAGATTTCAGGTTTCCAAGTTTCCAAACTACTGGGCTCTAATCCACGTGAGATCAAAATTCTGACCACATGAATTCCTACCAACTTCCTCTTTCATTCTAAAATTAATGGCTCCTTCTCTTTCACTCACCAAGTGGATCGGCAGGGCACCTGGTAGCACTGCCCTTGCAGTTCTACTCTGGACAGTTGCACAATCGAATCATCCCTAACCTACCCTGAGTCTCCTTGTGCAAAATCCAAGGTTGTAACAACTTGGGTAATGCACATATTTTCTCTTCTTTAATGACTTAGGCACCTAATTTTGTCCATAATATTGTCTAGACTTAAAAAATCTCCTTATTCCACTTTAGATTAATAAAGTTTGTCACTAACCTTAACATACTCTTTGGTCATTCCTACAGCAATCCAACTGTAGTAAGTTCCACTGACTGGTTTACCTGTTTTAATCCATCTTCTATGGTTTCTGGGTCTTTAATCTGCCTTACTGGTAATTGGAGGTTAGATCTGAGGGACTATGATTGGGTTCCGAGCCATTATTTTCCACAAACTCAAGTCAAATGCTTTAGTAGGACAGTGGGAAGTATGTCCTTACCACTTCCTATTTGAAAACCTCATTGAATCCACAGTTATTTTTCAACTTCAACTTTATATGTTCAATGAGTGCTTTGCTCACCTTCACACTTTGTGAGTGGACTATCTCTACATCCTCATGATTTAAACCCCCCAGGTATTATTCTCCAGCTGATTTCTAATTTCAAAAATCAAAGCACTATTTTAAGATAAAACATTCCTTAAACATTAATTAGATTTTTACTTAACCTTTTTTGGGGGAAAAGATTTAATGAAATAAAATGAAATCTTTAGTTATATATCAGAATTCATTATTGGATTCAGATGAAAAAGTCTTGCTCTAGATAGCTTTTCTTTTAGCAGCAGCAGCAGCAGCAAGGGTCATATAAACGGTGTTATTGGCTTTTGAAAGAGCTTTTGGATTTTTTCTAATATTCTGTGAAAAACATTTTACGATCAGGCTGTGCATTTACACAGGGCACCCAACACATTATAGCACATTTCCTTGCATACAAATGACACTGACTCAGTGGTTACTTGAATCTCAAATCAATTATATTGAATGATGGTTTCAGGTGGCCATTCAACAAAAGGGAATCCTGATTATGTCATTATGTGAAGCTTAAGATAAAACATTAAGATCGGCAAATAAATTAAACCTTGACTTTTATTCTCTAATGAATGTCTATTAAGCAAATTTCTTAAATTCAAATCTCAGATACACAAGTACCTTAGTAACAAAACAAAAATAGAAGAAAATTTTATTTCTTACTAAAAAATTTCCAAAGCCATATTCTAAAAGCATTGTTGAGAACATTGTGGTCCTTTTGTGTATGTGTACAAACTTCAAGATAACTTGTTCTGTACTTGGTTTCTCAATTAGATAAATGCCCAGTTGCATAGAAGGAAGCTCAGTTAAGACAGGAAAGTAAAGAAAGCCACTAACTGGCTCAGTTTGAAAATGTCTTATTTACTGACCTGAACCCTTCTCTAAGAAAGGGGGTTCACATAGTATGATAAAGTTCTCATGAAATTTAAGATTGTGTCACATCGCTCATAAGGAGCAAAATTTTGACTAATGTAATCTAGCAGCGATGTGTCAGTTACATGCCATCCATCTCTCTTATGCTTGAACAGAGGAGAAAGAGGAAGCAGAAGGAATAATAGTATTGTAGCCTTGTCAGATGTATTTCTTCAAAGACTGATGGAAATTTTGAATGCCCTGGAAACACTTCTTAAAACTGCAGAGAAACACGAGTTGCTTCAGTGAGAGTCCTCACAAACAGACCAGATGCAGACCATTTGCTTACAAAAGAACTCAATAACATGTACAAGTTCATTAACAAAATTCTTTTTGCAAGTATAATATCTTTTTTTCTTAAAAAATATGTGTGTCCGATACTGCTAAGTACAGAAATCATCAAACACCATAGAGCCTTTTTTATTAACTAATCAAAGAGAAATTCTAAATATTTGGCTGACTGATGCTACACCTTTTTTTTTTTTTTGTGCCTGAAATCAAACTTGAGACCTTGCGCTTGTGAGGCAGGCAGCAGCACCACTGAGCTAAATCCTGGCCCTGATGCTACACTTCTAACAGGAATGGTGTGTGCAGACAGAAAGAAGGAAAAACATAACTTATGTTTAAATTGTAGAACATGAAAACACTTTTTATTATGACTACTCATAACTATCAGGGAATTTCACAGCAAGAAATAATTTCACAAAATTTATCTCTTTCCCAGGTCCACATTAACTAAAATTGTAATTTGAAATATTATTAAATTGTCATAAACCAACATCCTTCCATGTAGCAACCAAAACACACACTAGCAGTTTAGATATCCATACTCCATAGAAGTATTCAATTAACAGATTTGTTCTCTTTTATGAGGTGCTGAATAATATTTACCTGCATTCAGAAGGCATTGTAATTTCTATGGGACTTGTGTTAAAATAGTTGGACACACTCTTACACTACAATTCTTGGAAAAGTGAACATATTTAAATTTAACTTAAATTCAATCCTTTTAGATGAATACACCTGACTATTGGGAACATGTGAGACAACTGGATATGCAAAGGCAAATAAAACACAGTGCTCATTACGTAAGATAACTGCAAAGTCTGAGTACATATGAAACCAAGGTAATATGATAAAAATGTATCACTTCACGATATCTGTTTCCTAAGAGGAAGAATGACATGGTTCCCCAAAGAAAAACTTAGAAAAACTGACTCCAATTGGCCAAAGAAAAGCATATTTGTAACTCAGTCAACTTTGTGCTTTCCCTTATGGGGTAGTTTATGGCTCTGTCATAAACTTTGTCATACTCTTTCTCATACTATTGACCTTCTAAGACTGCTAACTCTTATAGAAAAAAAAACACTTTTTGGGGAAAATAAA